CTACATGGTCATCTGCCACAGGCAGTGGAATGAGCGAACAATTTTGAAACAGTTTCCTTTTTTCCAATTTTCAAGCAATAAAATTGAAAGTCGCACCGAAATATATGATGATTAGTTTAAGAAGGGCACATGCATAAAAAACGGAAGGAGAGACATAAGCTTAGATTAGTGCGTTAGACTTTATGACTTTGGAAACTTATCGGTCCAGATGATTTTTTTTTGCTATAACTGATTTACAGTCTCCCGTACAGTCTCCCGTACAGTCTCATCTTCAAACATTTCCATGCATTCTTAATAACTGAAAAATAGTTTTCCCCATAACCAATCGTACTTACATAGTACATCAAGTGTAGCAACTCGGGAAGAAACATTCCCGAGCATATTGCTCGCCATACATTGGTATTCCCCGTTATCTGTCCTGATAATACTCGTTATCGTCATTTCCTGTCTGCCTTTTGAAAAGACAATCCTAGGATTGTAAGTTGTATTGATGTTAGAACCGCAAAAGATCCATGATATAATCGGTTCTGGATTTCCTGTAGCATTACAAGACCAAGTGATGTTTTCTCCTTCCACTTTTGTGGCATTCAGGGGATTAAGGGCGATCTCCGGTTGATCTGCAAATAACCAACAATATCCCTTAACATGTTTCTCATTAACAATTACTCAACTGATTCTTCGGTGATAAAAAGAAAACATCATCTATGAAGTACAATGCATCAAAGTGATTTGGGTGTGGCTTCTTTAACTAGGGTTCTCCTGGAGCCTCTTTTTACCCTAACACCTATTTGGGTTGTTCATTATGCTGGTTTACCGACATGTCATTAATGGTTTTTTGTTGCAACAATCTAATGCACAAATATTGCGAAAATCTTCGCCAATTTTTGCACATTGTTAGAATACTTCTATTCTGCTATTTTTAAAATCATCCGCATTTAGTGTTCTTCGTTATTACTATTTTACAATCACTCAACTGATTTTTTTTGGTGAAAAAATAAATAAAGAAATAAAGAAAAAAAGAAAAGGCACATCATCTATGAAGTACAATGCATCAAAGTGATCTGGGTGTGGCTTCTTTAATTAGGGTTCTCCTGGAGGCTTTTTATTACCTTAACACAAATTCAAGTTGTTCACTATGCTTTTTTACCGAAATGTTATTAATTGTCGTTTGTAATAACACGAACAAACTATGTAGTTTCCTAGTTATTTGAGAGCATTTACATTAATAATTCCTCGATACTTTAAAAAAATAAAATGAAAAATGGTGAACTAGGGTTATAAATAACAAATACCAAAATCGATCAAGTAATTTAGCCAATTCTTTTAATGCGACATAATTCATGAGAAAAAAAAAACGAAAGTACTAAAAAAGTTTTCTTACGTTGGACACTCAGTACACTCGCATTGGAAGAAATATTTCCACGACTGTTCTGCGCCACACATCGGTATTCTCCACTGTCTGTTCTGCTCAAGTTCATTATATTCAGTTGCTTGTCACCATTCCTAAGAAAAATCCTAGAATTCCCGCTTGTATTTAGTGGAGATCCATTCATGGTCCATGATACTGTCGGTGTTGGTTGCCCGTCAACAATACAGGATATCTTCACAGCAGTTCCTTCTGCAGGTCTCATATCCGTCGAATAAATATCTGGTTTATCTAAATCTGTAATTATCAGCAAACAATAAAGAGAATTGATATAAAACTAACAGTTTTTACATACAATTTCGTCTTAGGTAGTTGCCAACATATGTCGAACACGTACACTACCAACTTATAAAGGTTTCACTGATTTTTCACCAGCCTGGCAATCCGATGTGAACTTTGAAAATACGGCCGCGATTGTGCGAATGAAAATAATTCAACAAGTGTCTTTTTCGCTCTTTTGGTCGATCAAGTGCGATCAGCGTCTACCTGCTATTAGTTATATCAGTCACCAGACCACGACAGAGAATGATGTTATGTCCCTCTCACAAACACCGTAACTAGAGCCGCTAGTCCAGGTATGGCTCAATGTTCAACCTATAAGTAATAACTATCATTCATTATTTATGTGTCTAAGTGACAAAGTTAAATGAAATTATTTTTTTAGTGTGCTGCTGTAATCTTGTTTTTTAGCAGGTTATTTATACTTACACAGTACTGAAATCTCCACTGTACTTGAATTTGATTCTCCA